TATCCTGTTCATTATCACAATGGTCTCTATCGGCTACTCTTGTGCTCCATATTCTCGCAAATTTTAAAACGCCAACCTTTATTTTGTAACCATTGTTGGGGAAGAAATTATGGATAAAACCAGAATGTGCTGGCTTCCTATTTACATCTTTACTTAACTTCTCACCTGCTCTTATTATTAAAACATTTATAAAAGGTAAATTATTGCCCTTCTCCATCTCCGTTTATGGATGATACGGTGAGTTTTCTTGACTCGTCAGTTTACACGTGTTTGAAATATTGCTAACTTGCTCGGATGATGACCATCATACGACGGACTAAAGCTTATCACGTTTTTACCAGAATCGAGGAAGATTGCCTTGGCATCAATAAGAATGTACCAATAAAGCCAATCGACAGCTGGTCAAGAGGAATCAGCCGTCGTCTTCAGTTGAGATCGACCTTCGAATCTCTTTACCAAAGATTTTCATCCGAAATGGAAGTAGACTCAACAATTATGAAACAAAAGATTCCTTATAACCCAATTTTTCTCAACATATCATCCTTACAACCAGACTCGAACTACAGAGTCAAGAAAACTCACCGGCTTATCACTAAATGCTGTATATATACCTTTGTAAAGTAATTTACTTAGATAAGGTTAAGGGTCAACCTCGAAGAATGTAAACGTGTCCGTCCGTCCGTCCGTGTCTATGAGGCATAAGTATGGTACATATTTATCATCAACTTTCTTCTGACCATGCGAAGACCATTGAATCAATATACCGGCAAATCAATTCTTTTAGAGTTTAAGACATTTTTATCTAACAATGTATTACCTAGCTGTTATTTTCTTGATAAGCGACCAGCTTTACCTATTTTCACTAATAGAAGAATGGAACAGATATCAAGTGGTTTGGTAAAGACTAGATTAAAAGGGAGTATAGACAAATTAGGTGACATGATTTGAACCAAAGCCTGGATTAGACAACCCCTTTCTCTGCTAATTTCTTAAAAAGACTTTCTTAAATTAGAAAATATGACAGATTGCCTAATGAAAATGAGAAAT